AATTGTAGTAATAGCTTTTAGAACTGTCTAAATTTTCTAATCTTTATAGTATTAAGTAGACGGAATATTTTTGTTACTCTTTTCAAGGTCTATTAAATTTGTTTGAGAAATAATAATATTGCCCAAAAGAGGCTTGATATTTGTATTTTTCAGATAAAATTATATTTATTTAACAACTTAATAACTTTGTTTGAATGACATTATTAAATTCTAAAATTCAAAGAAAGTGTTCAAATAAAAAAAAATTCGATTTCAATTATATCGTTGATTTGAATTGAAATTTTCAATCACTAAAATTCAACTTAATATTTGATTCATGTATGCATTTGAAAGGGAACCACAATATATTTAATGTAAATAACATTTATATTTGCATATATATAAATATGTATTGCTTAGAATTATAATTTAGACTGAAATTAAAATATTGTATAGTTTTGATAGAATAGTTATGTAATTTTGATCAGAATTAGCATTAAGCTCAAAGAATTAAATAGAGAAATTGGACTCAGTATATTCAGCGACCCAAAATGTAAATCTCCAATGCACAATAATTTATAGATCTAAATGCACATTCTTTATTTTCGTATTGATTTAATGTATTTACATTAACAATTTTTTTTCTTATAATTCATGCATATTTCTTATTCAGAACACTTTTCTTCTATGCAATTGTCACATATGAGCCACGAGATTTGGATTTCTTTATTAGTAATTGGACCCGGGTGGAAGCGGGTGGGTCACCCAACGGGTGACCCGTAAACAATAATTGTGATTTTAATCCAAATATGCATTTGTATGTATATTAACTGTCTTTTTTCTTAAAAAAAAAACTTTCAAAATGTGTTTTATATTAGACTAGACACTCATTCAATGAATCGAAGGTAAAATTTTAAACGTTACCATTTTGATAAAATTTCTAACCGATCCAAATAAAATTACTATTTTATTTTTACAGCTGTTTTTATAAATTCTGGAACAACTGAAAAAATTGCTGATAAGTTACTGAGTCGGAATCAATAAGTAACCGACTTCTGAAGCTTATCGATTCGGTCATCGGCAATTTTTTCAGTTGTTCTAGAATTTATGAAAACAGCTGTGGTGCTCTATTTTCACCCAGGTGACTCATGAATCCGCCCAAAGAGTTGCTTTTTTTAACCCCCGGGTTCTACCCGGGTAGCTCATGGGTCCACCTGTGGGTGACCCGGGTGGCATTTTTTTTAACTATTTTTTATATTTTAAGTATTATATGTTGCCAAATTATAAGATGTACTTAAACTAGAGATATGATCCATTATCCGTTTTTCTATTTAAAAATTACGGATATCCAGATTTTTTTATAATAATTTTATTATAGATTGAATTAACGGATATCCGGATCGTTAAGTATTTTTATTGGATGTTTCGATTTGAGCATCCATATACTAAGGATGGTATTTTAATTGACTATTATTATCTTGCTGGTGGGCTTGGAAGACTTGTAATTGCCCTTTTTAATTTGTATTCTTTCTGACCACTTTTAAGATTACTCTTGTTTTAAAAAATCTATTTTCTTATCCTCCTAACGTCCATGTCATGCAACTTGGATTTCACGTTGATTATAAATCAATATACTTTTTTTTATTTTTTTTTAAATAACTTTAAAAATAATATATTAAATAAAACAATAGCATATAGTGTCTAATAAGAGTGTATATAACTATATATAATTATACAGATATAAATATAAAATATAATTTTTTAATAAGTTTGCACATGCTAGTAATAAGGAAAGTTTGCATGATTAGCAAATTCTACAACACACAAAACTATATAATTAAAAAATTATATAAAGGGTTCAAAATCAAGTTACTACACACTAACATTTTAAATAAGAAGGTTAGAATTTTCTTGATTGGCCAGTTTTATAACTCCAGTAAAATTTTCAGTTTTTATTTTAAAAAAATAATGTGGAATTATTCAATTATATTAATTTTCCCTATAAACATCGCATGCCTCTCATGTAGAGATGTGGTTCGTTATCTGTTTTCCTATTTAAAAATTACAGATATCCAGATTTTTTTATAATAATTTTATTATAATATTGAATTAACAGATATCTGAATCGCATCTCCACTCTCATGATTTATTTCATAATAGTTAAAAAAATTTCTCGGGAAACATAATCTAAAAAAGTTATTTATCTTATTATAACCAGAATTTATTTATTTAAAATAAAAATTATATAGTTACTGTACCATTGTTAATAATGTTAATGTCTTATTGAATTTGTAGTTTCTGTTAAAATATATAAGTTATTAATGATTTAATTGATTTGAATGAAGTATATTCAATTTTCATACCTGTAATTATATTATTTAATAAATTCGATTGTATTATTTGTGCAATTTTAATCAAAGAACTCAATGGACAACTTGTATATATTGCTCAAGAATTATAATTCTGAATTGACTTAATGCATAGCACCTCAGAAAACTTATAGTTGTTTTCATGTAAAGCATTATTAATATAGCTCATTAATTTTTCTGTGGTTGGTCTTTTTAATTGATTAGCATTCCAACACATCTTCATTAGGTCAATAAATAGTTGTGGCATGTTATCAATAATTTTATGGCAAAGGCCGTTAAGAATGTCTAAAATAAGATATTCATCATGTATGCGATCGGAAAATGGTTTATAACCACTTGTTAATTCCCAAATAATCATCCCCAAACTATATACATCCGAAGCTGCAGTAAATTTTCCTCCTTTTAATACCTCTAGAGCAATGTACGGAATAATCCCATATATTTCATCATTATCTAATAATTCATTTGCTGACATACTTATTCTGAAATCACTAATAGCCACCTTATGATTATTATTAATAAAGATGTTGCCGCTATGAAAGTCTCGATGAACTATTTGTTTTCTATGAATCTTGGCAAGCCCATGTAATATATCTTTCAGCATTTCTAATCTTTTTAACCAAGATAAAACTTTTATATTTCTTAACAGAAAATGATGTAAATCTCCATTTCCTATAAATTCCATAATAATCATGAAATTTTCAGTTTGCGGATCTTGTGTTATGCCAAAACATTTAGTGAGATGTTCATCATCATATCTAGCCGATTTTATGCATTTGTTATAAATTTCCAACTAATCAAAAAGAGGAGGCAAAAAAATAAATAAACAAATAAAATCAATTAATACATTATTAACATAAAAATATAATTTATTTATTCTTTAACACACCTCATTAAAAAATTGGAAGTAATATGTTTAGAATTTTTGAGACATTTGAGAGCAACGTTATAATTTTTATGTCTATGAAATCTCCGCTTCTTTGAGTACCATGTCGTAATTGGACCGTCTTTCCATATTGCTTTATACACTTTACTAAATCTCCCTTCAGCAAGATATTTGATGTTATTAAATTGCTCATATGGAACGTATTCAAGTCTTTTATATTTATTACTAGCTCCTGGTGAGATAAACGTGTTTTTGATAAAATTATCAACTAATTTGTTGCCACTCTGTGGTATTTTGAACAAAAGATCACAATATACGCAGTGAAAGAAATTTATATTCTTATGTCATCGTCTATAGCCACATTTGTTACATTTTTTAGTCAAATTATGAATACGCTTATACTTAATTGAGAGTGTTACAGAACTTGCTATGTTTATTTTATTATTATATGAATTTTAATAGATCTTGCTAGTGATATCCAAGAATTTTTGTAATATAATGGAACAATGTGATTGTCTTATTCTGTTTACAAGATTTTCTCAGAGAATGCAACTAATTTTCTAAAATATTTATGTAAATTTAAATTACTTGTACCACGCCTTATATAGTTTTTCTGAGTAAAAATGTAGTTTTTATAAAAAAAAAAAGGGCGCTTGCAAATAATTAAATTTAACAACCATGTCCGATAATGGATGATATATGAAAAAGAAAATAGCCATAGAAAGTTATAGTCTATTGGAATTTTCTCAAAATAGCTAATATGGTTAAACACTAGACAATTAAATTTTCAAATTTGCTTGTACAACTTTTTGATTTTGAAGCTCGCATTTAAAAAATAAAAAATTTTTATCAGAATTAAGTCTAGCGGGCTTTATTATGATTGGCTGATGTTGCAAATCATCTCAATGTAACAATTATCTCAAAAATGAATTCGGTGCCCCGAATACGAATTCGGAAAGGTTATCACATAAAATTAGAAACTACACCTTTGGATCTGACATACTAAAGTAATTCAGAAGTTAGATGAGAGGTATGTTCAGTATTTCAATTTAGCCAATAAGCATAAACAATCTATTAAACTTATAAAATAACAGTATTTTTGAAGGGTTTACATCGCTAACCTATTTTATCTAAAGACATATACATACGTACCACCGATAAAATAAAATATTGACATGAGTAATAAAACATGAACTTGTGAACTTTATGGGAGATTAAAACATGTGTCACGCCTAGAAATAGCTAACAATACGAAAAAAAGGTGATTCTAAATCGAGCATTAATAATTTTGAAGAATTTTTTTTTCAATGATTCGCAGGGATATGACATTTGAATTTTTAATTTTTAAGTCCCATGTTTAAATATTAATTTAGTTTTTTTTTTTAATTCTCATAGTCATAATTTTTTAATAAGAACTTGAATTATAGATTCTGTTTATACTAAGATAATTTTTAACTTTGAATTGTTAAGATCATAGTAATAATTTATTCATTCATGCCAATAGAGTTCTATATCAATATTTAGTTAAAATTGCAAGCAATTTTGATTAACCAATAATATTTTACCATGTCACAAGACAAACTATAAAAACCAGTCGATTTACAGTGAAGGCACAATATAGATATGGCTAAACCCCTCAATTGCCGATAAATTGGAGGAATTAGACATACAGTGGTAATAGCTTTCCAAAACAAGGTTTATCTTTCCTTAGTAGATTCAGGTTTCCTCAGTAGATTCAGGTTCCTAATATATGCATATACACGTGTATCATCATAATATAATTCCGAAAAAGGATTCAACATCGATTAAGAAGGAATACATATTGTATATTTCTAAAGTTAAATTTTATGTATTACTCAGAGGTTGAACAAAATATATATGTTAATGACTTATTATTAAATGCTTTAAATATAAAGGCCCATTGACTGGTGTGTGATCTTATTGAAATATAATAGGAGTTCAAACGTAATCCATGTAAGGGAACTGCAATATATCTGTAATGTAACATTTTATAACCGGGCGTATTGTTTGTACTTCACTAATTTTCCCATGAGCGAGTTTAAATACATTACAATAATACTATCGCTATATGTTATATTAAAATTAATAATTTAATGTATATACGTAATTACATGTCACTTGACTAGAGATGCGATCCGGATATCTGTTAATTCAATTTTATAATTATATTTTTATAAAAAAAAATTCGGATATCTGCATATCCGTAATTTTTAAATAGGAAAATAGATAACAGATCATATCTCTACACTTGACAGTTATAAAAAACAATTTCAGATCTGTGCACAAAATCACGTAACTCGAGATGAGTCAATGGTTCTACCCTAAAATTCTGAAAGACAGATTCCCGAAAAGGACATAATACTGACAAAATTAGCTAGCATTAGCGGAATTTCAGAGTAGAATATGAGCCAACACCCCATATTTTAATTAGACTATCATAATTACCTTTTTAATAAACTGTCTATCAAATTTATCATATCAATTAGGATGATTCAAAGTTAACTTATTTCAAAAATGAATAGAGGTCTAAAAAGTACTATTTTTGGTCTGAAATTTTGAAATCAGAAAATGAAATAGATGTTATTCGGAGATGAAATGAATAACTTTATTATATAAATAAGCTTACAAAACAAAATAAACAAGGTTTACGAATCTACTGATTTCAAAATAATTCCATTACCAATTTAATTCGAAATCAGAAACCCTGAATATTAATTTTGAATCACCCTATTATCTGTGGATGAATTATAGTTGTTAGACGAAACCATGTGATGCTAAATGTCACATATCAATATTTAATAAAAACTAGATTAAATTTTTAGGTCTTGGTAGTTTATGACAGATGATGATTATCATCACATGGTTTCGTCTCATAGATTTGAGAGGCGATCCGTTTGCCGATCCTAAAAGCTTTTGGCCCATATTACAGTTGGGCCAAAAGCTATTAGGATCGTCAAACAATCTAGCATAGATCAAATGACCTTTTCAATGTGCTTGCATAGCGCATAGCCAATTAAGGCTTGACATTAGCCCTAAAATAAATCTATACCAGATACTCAAAAATGCTATTACTTAATTTGTAGTCTAAAATGTAGTACAAATTAGTTAAACTGGTTACTAAAAATAAATCGTTTAATTCATATGTTAGATGAGCTATTTAAATTTCATCACTAAAGAAATACCTTCAAAAAAAACTTTGAATCAGTATCTTCCAGTCTTCTTTTAGCGGAATAAAGCCTCATACCATCCTTTAAATATCCTTCAACTAAATGTTTTATCTGGATAATCTCATAAAGAGACTTGGCGAATTATGTCAAGGTATTATAATTGATTATTAATTCAAACTTCAATTTATTCAGATTATGTATTTGCATTGTTAGAAATTGTGTCCGAGTATGAGCAAGAACAAAACCAAGACGGAAGCTATGACGTCTGTAAAAATTTAAGTCTTGTAGAATTGTGTCAAGGTATTATGATTAATTATAATTCAAACATTCATCAAATTTCAATTTGATTCAGTTATGTACTATACCAATTCCAAATCTTTTTTATTGTTAGAAATTGTAAGACATGCAGAAATGTGTCAAGGTATCATAATTGATTGATAATTCGAACATTCATCAAATTTCAATTTGATTTGGATTATTTTGACATTGTTAGAAATTGTGACAAAATATGAACAAAAAAAAAGAAACAAATTATGATATCAATAAAAATATTGTTCACATACTAGATTCTAACGACGGGGTGCCCAAGGAAAACTTCTCAAGCATGCTTTATGATAATGAAGTTCCATTAAATTTATTATGTGACGTATCAGGTTTTACACCGATCTTACAATCAGCATTTACTGCTAATCAGCTAAATGATTCTCCCACCACCTCTACCGATATAGCATTATCTGATAACATGTTTAATTCAAGTTATTTGGAATTTGAAGAAAACCAATTTGCGCCAATCATGCGTGGGCAAAAAACGAATTCTTTACGTTTTATTCCTTATGATGTTAATCCTGCTAACAGAAGCGATCGTAAAAAGTCTAAAACAAAGATCAAGAAACCCCCAAAGCCCTCTAATTGCTTCATTATTTACAGAAATGAAAAATTACCAGAAGTCATGAAGAAATATCCTAACATCACCTAAGGCAAAGCTTCTAAAATAATCGGTGAAATGTGGTCTAATGAATTATCAGAAGAATGTTTAAATTTTGAAAATAAAGCTAAAGAACTAAAACATGAACATACTATAAAATATCCACAACAAAAACCTAAAGGAAAATAGTGAAGAAATAAGTAAGTATCACTTTAAAGTTTAGGATAAGCTGGAAGTAAAATTCAGAATCTCATCCTAACTAATATAAATAATATTTTTTTAGTTTACTGTTTCTAGACTTAAATCCGACAGTAAATAATATTCAGTCCAGATTGTCAGTGTCCTGGCTTTAAAAGTTGAATAATTTATTATCCGTTGAAATGATAGATTACACTAGAAACGAGAGATTACAAAAAAAGGATATTTAAAAAAGCAAATTTTGCTGTAGAGTAAAAATTAGGATATATAGGAATGTAACATTAGTATTTATTTTAAAAATAAATAAATCCAATATACTCTTTTGCCACAATACATTTAAAAAATTATCTAGAGATTCGAACTTAAAATTTAAAATTTAAATATAGTATACATAAGGCATAAATAAAATCAACTTTTTGTTTTGCTTAATGAGCAATGTTGAAGTTTTTTTTGTAAATTAAAAATTTACGGAAAACCGATGCAAAAACATTGTTCTTGACCCACCTGACCCATTTTTCTTGACCCTACTAAAAATAAAAAAAAAATTCTCATCATTCTTGACCCAAAGTAAAATGATAATTATATCCATCGTCACATTACGTATGTGCAATACCAATAAAGCAATACTCGAAATTTTATATTATTATTATTATACGTTAAGGCAAATTATACAGCATTGATATATGATAATATAAATAAATAGTTTTACAACGGAGCTTCATATTAAGTTCTAATTAATTTGTTGGCTTTATTAACTACAATTGAATTATACATTTTTCCTTGTTTTTCTTGGCATCAAACCAAATGAATAGTTTCTTCTTGTTTTGATCCGCATTTTCATCCAATTTAATATTTTGTTCGAGGCAAGCCTTTACAAATTCGAGCCTTTTCCAATTTGTTTGTTTCTCTCCAAAGAGATTTTCAAGTTCTGATCGTATGATAGCTTTCCTGGATGATTCGATATCGACACTATTTTGATCATGCTATCAAAAAATTTATAATTAATATACTGCATAATTTTTGAATATATTATATGAATGAATTATAACCATACTTTCTTTGAAATATTGTGTTTGCGATTACGAATTGCTGCTGTTGTTCGCTTTCGAATTGATGGAGCCACTGTGTCTACTGAAGCTTCTGGTTCAGCTGCCTAAAATTCTATTTCATCGTCAAATAGTGTTGGATCATTATTATTTAAATTCTAAAATTAAAAAAATGTAATGTTAAGAATATATAATGTTTAAATAAATAAATAAATAAATTACTTCTTTATCGATTATATGTGTAAAACTATAAGATTTTCGTGGTTTTGCACCATGTATTTTGGGAGCACCAATATTTGATGTCCTTTGAGTAGGCATTTCAAGAGGACAAAATGGATCTTTTTTTGTAAATTCATGTTCATATGGGAAAAAAATATCATTGCCTTGCACAAAATAAATCTGAAGAATCTCATTAAACGCAGCATTAACAGAGCCACTATAAATTATAAAATTTTTTTGTTCTGTTGGCATTGCACGCTCTTTGTTACGAAAATATAACACAAAGTCATGCTTGATAACATCAAGTGTAGTTTTATTATCTTCAATATTATTAAAGAGACGTGCTGCATGAACATACTTGCATACATCATGGAAAGAGCTGTTTCATATAAAATCAAGACATGTGCACTCTCCAGTAGAGATGTTAACCAAATAATAATTTTCTTGTTGTGCTATAGGGTGTTTAGATGCATGTTGATTAAGCATCGGTTGAAGTAGTTTATATGATTTACTGTCAATTCCGATTCTTCTCATCATATATGGTGATCTAAACATACTATTTCCCTTTTTTACATAGAAATATGTATCAAACCCTTCAATTGCTGGTTTAACTAAGTAAAGCAAAACATAAAGTCGTCCTTGATTCAATTGTCGTTTTACATCTATAGGTTGTTTGAATTGTAGTGTCTGATGCTCTATAATTTGTGAATTCTAGTAAGTCACCTGGTCTGCCTTAAATACAAACTGGGGTGAAGTCTCTTTAACAATATTATCCCATGTTAAAATAATACCATATAACCTTTTGACAATGCGATTAATTGGCTGAGTGCCTTCACGTTGACCCTCAATTGACTTATTCATTTGTTCTGTAAGATTATTAGTAGTCATAGGCTTAATGCCTGGCATATCATCTAAAGATAGCATTCGTCCAGCATCAATAAAGCAATTAATCCATTCATCAGATAACCAATTTGAGAACATATCATTGCATAGAAATTCTTTCATAATTTTTGTAAGTGGCATAGATTTGATAAAAGATTGATAAGCCTTGTCAAGTGCTATTGCTTCTTCTCTACTTCTACTACGGCCTACAATTTTAAAAGCAATAGCAATTGGATATCGGTAGCAATTATCAATTTGTAGGTTCTTAAGATATTCACTAAATGTTTGCATTATATGAAACCAACATAAAATTACACCACGGAGAATAGGTTGAAGTCCTCTCTTTGTTGGTCAATGCTTATCGATCATTGCAAATGGTTGCAATAATTGTGCACATTGTCAGATTCTCATAAATCCTTTATTATTTGCTAACTCTACATACTGATATTCATGTGCACAATTAATATTACTACATGGAATATTTTTTTTGACTGCTTCTATAGCAAGTCTAATAGTATAATTATTTTCCTTATTTGATATTCCAAAAGCAATTGGGGTCCATAACCTGCATTATCTTCAACAACAAGTGTTAAAACTGGTGCTCTGTTACAATTTAAGTCATATTTGCCATCAATACCAAAGCAAAAGAAACCAAAGTCACGTGCTTGTAGAGTTTTTACTATAAGTTAGTCAAATTTGGTCTGTTTTCGATGTTTTTTATGTCAAAATGAAGCTGGGGAGGAGCTAGAGAGCCCTGTTTCTAAAAAAGAGCAGGTTTTCTTAGCTTAATTTGAGTTAAAGAGCAGTGTATTTATTTAGGATGAATATTATATATTTAATTAAGAATCAACTTGAAGGTTGTAAAAATTGTGAGTTATATATAATTTGGCCTTTAGAACAAGTTTAATTATTTAGAAAAGGTAGCTTTAGTTAACAAAATTAAGAGAAAATTGAATTTTTGTTTTATTTAAATTTGGTACAAGTGATTGTCAGGAAGAGTTAGTGAATCGGTCCCCAGAAACTCCAAAGTTGAAAAGTTTCTTTCATAATAAAAATTTTAAATTTTAACTAAAACATTTTTTTTACTAAGTAAACCTATTTTCAACTTCTAACAAACGTTGTAGAGGAGTATCTTGCGATCAAAATGGTGATTAAAATGTTAAAATCGGCCCAGTAGATCGCGAAATATAAGTATTTTTGTCTTTGCGATTATATGCTTTCTTCTTCTTTTTTCTTTATTTATAATATAAATAAAGAAAAAAGAAGTAGAAAGCATATAATCGCAAAGACAAAATACTTATATTTCGCGATCTACTGGGCCGATTTTAACATTTTAACCACCATTTTGATCACAAGATACTTCTCTACAACTTTTGTTAGAAGTTGAAAATAGGTTTACTTAGTAAAGAAAAATGTTTTAGTTAAAATTAAAATTTTTATTATGAAAGAAACTTTTCAACTTTGGAGTTTCTCAAAGAAAAAAAATTTTTCTTTACTAAGTAAATCTCGTAAAGTTGTAGAGGAGTGTCTTGGGAACAGAATGGTGGTTAAAACGTTAAAATTGGCCCAATAGATCATGAGATATAAGTATTTTTATCTTTGTGATTATATGCTTTCTTCTTTATTTTTAACATTAAACTAGTTCATGAACTGGTTCATGTGAACACTAAATGTCACTCTAGCATTATTATGCTAGCAGAACTCTGGCAACAATTTAAAGGTCGATTGCTAGTAGTGCTCATATGTCGAACTAATTTACCTACATGCATCTTATGTTAGTTTGGTACAGATATTGGGCACATGCATAAAACTAATCAAAAAGGGGCAGAAAGTAAAAATAGAAATCAGGTGGGACAATAGAAGAACAATTGGAAGCAAGATCATCCAATAAGGAATTATCCAAACTAGCTGGGCGTATGAGGAAACCAAAAATATATAACCCCAAAACGAATCGTATGATTGCAATCGATGGGTCGATATATAATAGATTGTTATACGATGGATATATATATTGGGAAGAGGAAAGACTATTAATCTCTCCAATTCGTAAGGAATAAACATTAGAAAAATAAAGCCTGGATCGCAACTCCAAAGCTATATGTACTACGTACATGCGAAGCAAATTTTTTTCGTTATATTCTATGTAATAGTAAATTTCAAATCGACAGATCTGATCCAAGGTATTAACGTGTATCATGTACCTAACATAGATCGATTATTTTCTCGAGAACCTCTTTGAGCAATGCTATGTCTTCTTTGATCCCATTGATATTCTCATTAATTTTATTACATAAAGCTATAAATTCTAAAACCTTCGATCTATTCTGTACCTTACTCGTATCCATTTTCTGGTATAATTACATTAACCACGACCTATTCAATTTTTGATATAGCTATACTAATCCACAGATAATTAATTTCGATTTGAAAAGATATTTTCTATAGTGTATACAACCTAAAGAATTGCTCATAACCTACTCAACCTACTATAACATTCAAACATGTCAGCTATCGTAACTAAAATTGTTGGAAACTACAATCTCAACCCCGAGATGAGTGTGTCTGATCTCAGTAAATATACCTCAGAATTTCTTGAAAACCTTACCGATGATAGAAAGCGGAATCAAGCTCAACGACGTCTTCGGGATGGTTTTAAATTTAACAATGAGCAGATAAGTATATTGATGCCTAATCAGAGAAGTGGAAAAAATAAAACTATAAATTTGGTTGAAGATAATTGTAGACCCGAAGGGTCATTGCTTTGCAATAGAATAGCTATAATCAAGCCTCCAAAAAGTTTGGAAGAAGAGATCGTCAGAGAGAAAGCAAAACGAATCTTACAGAATAGATATGAGTTTAGTGAGGATCAAGTGAATACCTTATTCTCTACCCAGGAAAACGAACAATGTGAAAGTACTTCTGGCCAAACCTTAAATATTGTGATTGCTAATAAACTCTCTAAAGGGATGGAGGAAGAAACTATCGGAGATATGGCACAATGAATTTTACGGAATAAACTTAGTATTAGAGATGTAAGAGCCGAAGCTTATGCCTTAGCCCTATCAGCAAAAAATGCTAATGCTGGTTTATCACGTCTTTCCTGTCTCAGAAGAGAATTAAGAAATCTTGGTGCTTTACCTGCAATAGTCGAGGCCACGAAATTTCCAGATATTACAGAAGAGGCTAACAAAATCCAGAGGGATAATCAGAAAAAAGCTGAAGCTAATTGTATTGACTATCTGGATCATTTTACATTAGAATCAGTCAAAGAGAGGTTGGATAGTTATGATACATCTACTTTACCCGACTTACAGGCTCTCGCAGATATTATGATAATGCTTTGTATCTGCCCTGCTGAACTTACAACTTTACGTATTACAGATACTGGAGTAACAGGTTATACAAAGAACAGGGGACAACCAGATATCCCCAGAAAATTTAGATCTATGGATAAGGATCGAGAAAGAGCCCGAGATTTACTTACTTGGATACAGAATGTTATATATTCTGGTCGAATAGATAATCCAGATAATCCAGGTAAGCCAGGGGTTAAATGGTTCAATAGATTCTTAAAAAATTATGATTTAATTCCTAAATATTTGCGTAAAATGGGGGCCGTTTATGCTGTAGTGATGCATAGAGCGCAAAATTTAGCTCATGCTATGACAATCGCTGGAGAAGCCTTACGCCACAATCCTGACAATAACACCTCACCAGCACAAAATTACGTTATAGTAAATTATCGAAAGAAAGGACAAACTCCAGAGCAAGCAAGACCATTTCACCTTTATAATGATGATAACTAATTACGCTTCTTTATTTTCACCATATCCACAATAAAATCTTTATCATCATACCAGAGGTAGTCACTTACTCACTTTGTAGCTAGAGGATTCAGAGTCAGACTCAGATGAAGACGAAGACTCAGATGTGGTATCATTTAAAAATCTCTTTTTTCTTTTAGCCTTGCATGGTGTGCGGTTTCTTTGAGAAATATCTGGGTTTGCTATCGAGTTTATAATATCCTGCTGAATCTTGGGCTTCACTATCTCCAGTAATCGGTAAAGAGAGATCCAGATTTTTTTACCCGATACTTGCTTAACAATATCAGATACCACTTTATTGGTAATGTTGGGTAAACTTTTATCTTTTTCGAAACCCAATTTTTTCGCAATCTCATAAGTGATAATTGGACATTCTGAACATGAATCAATCACACTCTGTTGCTTTAGCACTAATTCAATATTATTATTTTCAGTCATTGTCTATGTTAAATTATTTATTAATACGTAATAAAAAAATACTGTATTAAATATATTTAATATTAACATGTTCATAAATACCCTTGTTGAAGGAAAAATCCCAGTAAAAGCATTAATCAGATTGGTTATGGATGCGCAAAGCAAAAATAAGCTTTGAATATCCCTTCAAAACTTATACTCGTCGTGCTAGGATTATAATAGATGATATGAGTATTCCATTAATCGAAGAAAATAGTAATAAAGCCAGCTCTAGTAAATCCAATTCTGAAACAGAAATCAATAAACCTCCAATTCAAAGCTTTACTTCCTTATCTAAATTCAATTTCCGCAGTTGCCCTCAAAAGAAAAAAAGAAAGTCCAAGCATTATATAACTGCCTTTGATGAGAATAAATCTGATCTAAATTTAGAGAAGTTTATAGATATGTTTAAGAAATTATCTATAGAGACTAATTTATCCAGCTTCGATTCAGAATCCACGGGTTCAGACTGGTATGATCTCGATTCAATAAAATCCCGAAAGAATCGTGTTCATATTAAAAAGAAAAAGGTTGACTCTCCTATCCGAAAACTTCGTAAAAAAAAGCATACCAACTGTGTCTGCATTCCAGAGCAGTGATCTATCTAATCAACTATAATCACTGGCGCGAGTGGTAAATCTTTGAATCTTTTTTCAATATGGGCTAATACCTTTCTCGATAATATCTTTGATGGAGGTGCCTCTATCAATACTTTCTCAGCATATTTTTCAGTATATATATATACCCACATTATATATATTAATTTCCCACCCTTGTAGTTATGTCCGTGATGAAGCAAAAATCGATACTCGTCCATTACAATATCAAACATCTTCTCCTGGTCTGCTATTAATTCCCGAAAAAGTTGTTTATCTTCATCCGTAATTGAAAGACGAATTTCTTCAGGACTGAAACCTATATACTTAGAAATCTGATCACGTAATTCGTAAGACATTTTTCCGTTACTATGATACGTAATAAAAATATATTTAATTTATTTTACTATGTCGTTATAATGGAGCGATGTCATGTGCAAATCCGCATATATGGCAGAATCTCTTTATTTTAAAAATTGCCGAACGGCTATCGGGCATAGCCCGTGCACAGCATTACATTATGTGAATGATTAAAATCATTTTTTGTCTAACATCTTTAATAACTTAATATTATCAGACGATGAATTGATATCTTCTACCAATGAATTGATATTAGTTATTGTTTTCACAGATTCGGTATGAATTGTTCTTGTACTGCCTTGTCTTGATTCTTGCTTACCTATTTTGAAATAAAAAACTTAATCTTATCTCATAAATATAACCATTGTGAACATGCCGATAATAAAGCCCACTTACAAGTTTGAGTAATTTCAACGGTCCCTGATTTAGAAGATGATGAGTCATTAGGATAAGTGATCTTAATAACATTACTCTCATTGATCTTGGAAATGCTAGTTTCGTTGGTCTTGGAAACGCCACTTTCATTGGTCTTGGTGACAGAGTTATTGTTAGAACTACTCATTTTTTTGTTCCTAAATACAGAATAATGGTAAGTACAAATACGTTTTATAAACTTAATTAAAAGTGGTATAATAAATAGTGGTATATACTTTGGAATTAGTGCTGAAAAACGTTATTGATACCCACTTACAGGAGAAAAAAACGAAGTATTTTATAGCATCCCATTGCTTCAGTCTATCCCAAAAACCAATTATTTTTTCAGTTAATCGCTTAGCATGAGTCGGGTTTTGTCTGTGATCGCAACAGGTAAAATACTCCTTAATTTCGACGATCTCTCTTACGAAGTAAAAAGTCAATGATCGCGATGATCTGGGAAATGCTAAGTCATTGTGAGATATGAATTTTGATTAAACTACTAATGAGAAATGATAAGCCATTCCCCTTATAGTTCTGGCAGTTATCTGCAATGCATTGGTTTATCCATCATGTGATTTTGTATAATTGCAATGAGGTGTCATGTCTTTTTGATCGAAAATTCTGGCATATACTTTCATCATTGAATTAATGATTAAACCGATGTCCCTTTGATATCTTTTTATACGGAATAACGTTAAAATTTTCTATTATAAATTAAGGAGTGCGCGTTGATCTGATTTTCAATTTTAATAGTAAATTGCAACGGTTACCTACTTTCAATCATTTATTTCAAGGGTTTCTAAAAAGGAAACCGCACTTATGACATGCATTTTGACGGTTTAGAAAGTTAATCTCTTTATTGTTTGCATGTTTAAAATATAATACAAAATAAACCCAAGAAGAATGCGGCACTTAAAGTTTGCATTTTGTTTTATTTTT